TTCAGTCATGTGCCCCAGATAACTGCCCTTTAGAGTTTTGCCCAAACCCAACCTTCTAGTATAGTGACTGAGGACGAGTCCTATAGAGTCCGGAGGATTGAAGGTCCCTTTCCTATACTTCCTAACTCTGTGATTTCTGTCAGGACACTGAAACTATTGAAGTTTAGATTTTCTTGTCCATAAGGATCATTTCATGTGGGTTCTGTAAAAAACTGAAACCAAAAATGCTTGTAAAACAATGAATACAATATTACGGGATTTTGTTGTTGTTATTGATGGCATCCAGATTTAAAGCCTTTGGCACCTCATGCCTGGACTACTGAGATAAAGTTCAGATGATCATCTTGACCCCACATTCTCCTGACTCCAGACCATCCCATTAGATCTCAGCAGAATAAGCTTCCTGAATTAGGTTGCCCACATCACTCGGATGTTTTCCCTGCCACTCACTATTACCCGTAGGGCCTGATGGTTAAGGACTCCACAATATGTCTATATACATTGAACATTTGTTGAAATATATAGATTTCACTACATAAGGCACTTGTTATCTTTTCTGGCTGTCCCTAACAAAAACATCACTATCATAATATTTTGTTATATTGTCAAATTGATAAATTATGAAAAGTTTCTTAGGAAAACTTTACCTGATAATACGAGCTCACTTTTGTTAATTATGAGGTATGCCATCTACCACTACAATCAGATTTGATCATTGTAATACTTTTGCAAGCATTTCCCTGGTAACCTTAGGTAGTTCAAATTTCTCATGGGTTAGAGTAACTATGTTGGCATGTGGGGTAGACACTGAATCGTAGTGCTACTTACTCAGAAATCGAGGTTAATGGCAACAAATTTGCCAGTCCTGGGGCTAATATGCAAGTGCCTGAGTAGCTCAGAGATAGTATAACTCTTGCCTAACTACAGTGCTTTCATCCAAGTTTCAGGTTAAAGCTGATGAAAATAGGAAATTAATGTCTTTGTATCATATTGCTTCAATGTTAGTAAGCTGGCTAAACGGACCAATTAGAATAACACAATATAGATTTCCCAGCTTCCATTTATGCTAAAAAATAAACTATTGAGAAAGAAACTTTCAAACTATATGATGAAGAATTTTAGAGAGGCTTAAAATTCTTTCCTACTAATTGTTATTAGTTTTTGTGACCATATGACAGAGCCTATGATCTAAGTCCTCAATCCATACCAACACATTCACTAAGTGTAGTCATCTAAAGCACTCTGTCATTTATAGCTACTTCAAAGTGCATTCAAAAACTTGGTTCTTAAGTGCATTAGATTTTATTAAAAGCATTCTGCTGTGACACCCATTCTTTCTAATTGGTTTATGGACAGCCCCCACCATTCAGGCAAACCCTAATTTCATTTTCCCACAAATGTACTTTGATTTATGGTTCCTTATTCTATATTATTTATAGTGAATCAGGGTAAAGTTCTTATGACATTAAACAAAATTTACAGTAGTTCTTCTACAAATATGGGATGTACATAAAGATTCTTATTAGGGTTTTTTTGTTTATTTTTAAATGTATTTATTCAATTTACATTCATCTGTGTGATTTCCAGCAGTAATATCTTTATTACCTTTCCTGAGATTATTATTTACTTGATTTTTCATGTACAGGTTTTTAGAATTGCTTAGAATGTTGGGAAAGATTATGTGTGCAACATCAAAAATATATTCTTCTATTAGGTTTAAGTAGGTACATGTGTATTTGGAACAGAAAAAATACTATCTAGGGGCAATGACAGGGCATCTGCATAGAATTAGGTAATGCCCATGTTGTGCTAATGAATTTAACTAAAAATATTCTAGTGAGTTTTAGAATTACAACTTTTGAGATGCCAAGAGTTGATTTGGAATGAATTTATAGCAGAATCCAAAAAAAAATTAATGTTTTAAAATAAGTAAGTGGCACAAATATAAAAACAGAATAATAATACTCAAGAAAGAATTTTCTCACTATTGAGTTATTGCATAATAGCAAACTAAGTAAAGACTCTCCATGGAATTATAGGCATGGAATCTTTTCTGTAGGGAGTCCATGAAAATTTATGGGGAGAAAGACAAATAGAAGTTGTCTGTACCCATTTGTAAAGCCTTCTAGGCTTCTTAGGAATGTGTTCTTTCTTTCAAAAGTTTGGATGATTAGAATTTTGAATTCAGAATCAGAAGGAATGGGATATATTTAGAATAAGAGACAAAGAGAAAAAGAGATATTAATTTTAAGATAAAAAAGGAAAGAGAGAAAGATAATCTCTAGCAAAATTTAGGTCAATTGAATAAATGGGAGGCTGGCTTCCAACAGCATAAATAATAACATCTAGAAAAATTGAAAAAGGTGATTAGCAGGTGATGAGCAGGCAAATGATCTAAATATCCATTGTAGCTGAATGTTATAAATGAGGAACTGAGTCTTTCATCTCTACTGGAACAGTAAAGAGACCCTCAACACCCACAGTGTCCTTTGGAGACCACCTGGAAGTGATCTTTCACCCTAAGTGGCAGTAGTAACATTGCATCCCTTTCTGCTGGGTGCAGTCAGAGAATGCCTCCTAGGAGGACAGGAATTTCATCACTGACCAGAAGTAATGAGGCTACCGCTTCTGTGGTATCATATGGAGAGCAATAATGGGGCGCTCCCAATCCCCCTATCAGGGAGGGGTCAGTATACGCCTAGTGGTACTGGAGCACCCACCTTCACCCCCTGTCAATGAGAAACTCCCTCTATGGAGTGGAGGCCAGGTGGGTACCAGGATTTCTACCCCCACCTGGCAGTAATTAGGTAGTACCCTTAGCCACCTCTGTGCCAGAGAGAGGTTGGAATAAACCAGCTAAAACAGAAGGTTTAAGGTCTGGAGTCTCACAATACACCAGGGTCCAGGTTTCAAAAGAAAATCAATCATCACACCAAAAATCAAGAAAATCAAAAAGCAAATGAAAAGAGACAATCAATAGATGTCACCCTTACCCTCTAGACCCTGGCAACCACCAATCTATTCTCTGTTTCTAGGAGCTCAGTTCTTTTAGATGCCACATGTAAGCGAGATCACACAGTATTTGTCTTTTTGTCTGACTTATTCACTTACTCACTTAGCATAATGGCCTCAGGCTTCATCCATCTTGTCACAAATGGCAAGATTTCCTTCTTTTATTATTGCTGAACATTCATATATATATATACACACATATACATATATATGCATATATCTGTATATTTACACATACACACATATATACATATACATACTTATAAAAATATGTGTATATATATGGTTAAACATTCAAATATATATGTATTTGTATATTTATACATATGTATTTTCGTTATGTATTTAAATTTTAATTTACAAAACAAAAAATGAGGTATTTGTTGACCAGCAACTAGTACGATACAATAATACAATGCACACAAACACACATGAACACACATATACACTATTGCACTATAGCTTTCTATAAATATGCATGATGCTGGCTTAATATGGCTAAGTTTTCTTTCTTTGGATTATGTATACCACTTTTTAAGGGATGTTAAAATGGTGACATTATGGCAGATGGTAATCTTTTGTTGTTGTTGTTGTTGGTATGTAACTTGTCGGCAAAATTCAAGTTGTCAATTCTTTGTCAGTTTCCAAAAATGTGATTCAAAATCGACCTCTCCATGAATTGCTAAAGTCCAGGAATGGCATCCCCACAGTTTCTGTTATACTAATGTAGCAGAGGATGTATATGTAGCATCCAGCTCAGAGTTCTGCACAAAGCTGTCGTCCTATACACATGGTTACTTAACAGATAAATTTGTCTGAAAATGGTGGCCAATAATTCTAATACCAGAACAAACTTCAAGTCTCTTATAAGTGAGAGGCAATCTTGCTTTGCCATAGTTACTTATGTAATTGTAAGTAATTGTATGCTGGGAATAATGTGGAATATAGTGAAGAAAATTCTAAACTCTAATAAACTCTAACAAATGCCTTCATGTTACCTCACTCTTCAACTCCATTTCAGCATTTAATCTTCTTAATATTTTAATACCCTATTCAGTTTTTAGCATTAGTGTTTCTATATGCCACTCAAACTGTATTTGTCATATTTAGTATATTTATTGTACTAGATATATTTTTACATACTTCTTTGTTAAAATTAAAAATTTTTATGTGAATATTAAAGATCAGCATTATATCAAGTAAGTTATATTACATAAATTATTTGCTATTTTGTTCATATTAAGAATTAACACACACATAGAAAAAGAATTAACAAATTAATCATGTTTTTATTAAATTTATAAATAGAGACAGCTGGGATGGACTACTTGGTTAAGCATTTGATTCTTGGTCTTGGCTCAGGTCATGATCTCATGGTCATGGGACTGAGCCCCATGTCAGAGTCTGCACTGAAACTTTCAGAGAAAGATAATCAGTTGTCTGTAATTTTCTAAAGAGTTCACTAATCACTTTCAATTTTGTAATCTAATGAATTAGTTCATATGTAAATAATATAGCTTTAAAAATATTCTCAATGTGAATAACTCAATATGAAATGTTTCTTCTTTGAGAAAAATCTCAATTTGGGGGGATGAATGATTCACATGTAATCTAATGCTAATTCCTCATAATTCATAATATCTTAAAAGTTTTAACATTCTAAGTGGAACTTAGCTACCTTGTTAAAATATTTTTCTTAACAAAAGTTTAGGCTTTTTTCCCCTTATAACGTGATATTTTTAAGTGACTTTTTCTAGAATACTTTCTAACGTAACTTGAAATAAAGTAAATTATTAATATTGATTATAAAATAATTCTTCTCTTTAAACTTTTGTATTACTGAACTTGCTGTTGTCCATCATTAGACAATTAGGTCTTCATCTTCCAGAATATTTCACATGAACTAAAACTGAAGAAAAGTCTTTTTTCACTGTGCATTTTTCAGTGTATTTTAAAACCTGATTCCTACTTTTTGCTTTTCTTTGAAGGTGAGAGGCCCTCCCGCTGCAGGAGCGTTTAAAGAAAGACCCACGAAGCCCACAGTGTTTCGAAAATTTTATGAGCGAGGAGACTTCCCCATTGCCCTTGAGCATGATTCGAAGGGAAACAAAATCGCGTGGAAGGTAAGTCAGGGCACAGCTGGGGAAACCAGTGACCTCTCCCAACGCCGAACCAAGGTGGCTAACTAAATAAGCTGGAGTGATTTCTCAGAGCGGGGAAGATGATGGGTAAGCTCTTAGAGAAACCCCCCTTGTGTCAGCTGTCCACCTTGACTAACAATTAAATTACAGCCTGCAAAACAGAAAATGACAGAGTTGCCTTGCCTTAGAGAATTGTCCCCTGCCCAATTCATCTCTATTTTTATGAGAACCTGGCAGCCCAGCCTGTTTCAGGCAGTCCATCAAATGATGGAACTGGTGGCTGAATACGGAGAGCAACAGCCATTTATCTCCCCCAAATTTCACCTTCCTGCAGGACACTTCCAAATGGAAGCTTTAATTACCTAAATGGATAGGTCAAGATTGTCTGCTCCCTGGAAATGCAGAGCGGAATACAAAAGAAGCCTGGTTCTCATTGCTGCACTCTCCCTCTGTCTGCGGCACGTGTCGGCGGTGGTGGCTGTCATACGTGCCCGGTTAGAGGCTGACCTCCATGCTGAAACCATTACAGCACCGACATTTTTCTGACAAAAGGTTAATTGGCTTCAAAATAAATGTATTGCCTAATGACTCCATCCTAATGTGGCTGTGTTTCTTTCTAAAAGGCTCACTGATGTTATTTGTAAAAACTTGCCAATCTCTTAACTGGAGAAGGCTTTTACATTTAATTTGAAAAACGAAATGCTGATCTCTAAACAGCTTCTGCTATTTAATTATTTTGTGGTATCAAGGACTTTGCTTTGGGTGATATTTATCAGCTAAAAGGGTTTCTCAGGCTAAAGACAGAGTTGTGCATGCGTATCACATCAGGCTGAGGAACATGAAAGGTTTTTGCCAAATATCATCCAACTGAAGCAGTTGACCCGTTTAACTAAAAAGCCCCACAGTAGTGTCTGAAGGTGAAGGTAGGAATTGTGCATGATCGGTACACATAGATTTACATTAAAAAAATAAAATGTCCAAAATAAAGAATTCCTCAAAGTAACTACATGGATTCATCAAATTTCCTTCCTTTATGGAAAAACTAATAAGAGAATTGTTTGTGCTGTTTTCAGTGTGTCTTTAAATGTTTTCTTATAATTATCAAGCATTTCTAAATCTTGAGAAGTCTTTTGGTATCCAAATATTGAACTTAGAATTACCACAAGTTATTTCGCGATAGAAATCCCCAAGGTGTCCCTGTTATTAAATTTTGTCATAATTTTTTTAGAAGGATGAAGGACATCACTATCTCTAGCTCGGTTTCAAACTTTTCTATTAAAATGTGAATTTGTTATGTGACAATGTGCATATAATGAGAAAGGATGTATAGCAAATATAAGTAATTTAGATATTTTAGTCTTAGCATGAGTATATATTCCCAAAACTTTACTGTCATTGTTGGGGTTGTTTATATTTGACGAGTTACATGGATTTCTTGCTTGTCTGTATACTAGTTTCACAGGGTAATACAGTGGAGTTTCTTAAAAACCTCATTCCTGTGGAGTAAAAGAATATGCTATAATTCTTTATAAAAAGTGAATGGAGTTATGTAGAAACTAATTTGATAATAAACTATTTGTAAAAAAAAAAAAAAAAAGTGAATGGATTTTAGTGTCTTAAGCAATTATAGCACATAAAAATTATGTCAATAAAAATTTTAATAGATTTATTTTGACCTGTTCAAATAACCTTATGCGTAAGTTTTGGAAGTGTGAGGAGTCAAAGAAAAACAAATCATCTTGAAAATAATGAAAATGTAGGATGAATCATTTTGCTTTATCTTTGATAATCCAACAGTCAGAAGGGATATAAACTACTTTTGTTTTTTATAGCTATATTAATTCTTTTAAGTTACTGTTGACAATATTACTGATTCAGCAAGCCAAAAAGTCAGAATGAAAAGGAAGCAATTTATTCGCTGCCGTTGGTAGAATAATAGCATATATTTAAAGAAAGCATCTTATCCTATAACCTGTAGGCTTCTGTCTCTTAAAGTCTCACCAACCACATTTCAGTTACACTATACTAATACTGAAAGTAAAGCGTTAAAATTCTTAAGCATGGGCTGTGGACAATCTCTCAATATATTCGTATTTATTCCTTTGCTGCACCTGCTGTGAAGACAGCCTGGTACCTGGGAGGGGCAGAGAGCTTCTTTAGGATGCCATACCTAAGGAAGGGGCCTTGAACGTTGGAGGAAGCAGGGCTACCCTCCTGCACCCCACAAAATAAAAACAAAGGTCAAAACATAAAACAACCCAGGACTCTGCACTCTACTTCCTTCCTGTGTGCGGACAGAGCCCAGGAGCCCAGGTCTTCATGTCACAGCTCACCCCCTGCTAACAGCTTCTGAGTAGCTCTGTTTCCCAGGAAAATAGTGGTCCTCTCTCCATACTCTTGCGACACCGCTGGGACGCCAAGGGGCTTGTGAGTGCCTGAAATGGTGTGCATGATTAAGTTGTAAGAAGTGGTAAATCTTTTATCAGAATTTCAAGAGGCACTGACTCGGAAATACTTAGGAGCCAATGTTCTGGAGCATGATGGAGGCTGTCCGGCATCTGAGACACAGCTAATCTGTGAAATCGCTGATCGTTCCTGCCCATGGCCCCAAGTTCCCCACTTGTTCTACATTAACTGACCCCATCATCGCTACTAGAAATTAGCATGGATTCTTGAAATAGAGTGACTCTCTGGTAACTACGAATAAATGACCTAATTAAGTCGGAAAATAGAAGTAAAGGTTAGATGTCGGTAAATGTCTTTTGCACATTTAGATTTTTCATCCCGTATCCTGAGCTGCTGCCCTAGTTTAGTGCATATGAAACTGGTATTTGTTCCACATGCGAAAACAACAAGGCAGACCAAATGCCGGAATCTGTGCGGTTCAGTCTAGTCCGTATGGTATCCCTAAGAATCAGAGCACAGTCTGATACAACTTTCTGCAATGGTGGAAATGTTCTACATCTGCACTGTCTAATAATTACAAGTAGCCATATGTGGCCATTAACCGCTTGAAATGTCCCTAGTGAGACTGAGGAGCTAAATTTTTAATTTTAATTAATTTTAATTTAAATAGCCACATGGTTACCATATTAGACTGTGCTGCTCTACATTAAAAGAGTGGCAGTCAGAATAAATGCCTGAACCTGCTGGCCAGATAGAGACTGTAGCTGTGTGCAAATTACCATTAAAATGAAAAAGTAGGACTGATCCATGCATTTTTGCCATGGCTGTCTACACGAATCAAACATTCCTTGGTAAACGTGAAAAAAGTTTTGCAAAATTTTTGTAGTGAAATTTTTCCCTATACTTACCAGTGGCAAGTGAATTACCTAGGAAAAAATGAATAGGTCTGATCTGTGATATGAAATCTACCAGGCGAGCTCCGGCTTACCTTTTATTTTTAAATATGTGTTTTCTAAACAGAGCTAAAGTAATTAAATTGTTAATTATTAATGGCTAAAGACTTTAAAAAACATGACAATGACGTAAACAAAAACTTTCAAGCCTGTCTCTGTTTCTACCTTCCTCTTGACTCTACCAACATTCAGGGACATGACTTTATTCTGTGACCATTATCTTCAATATCCAGAGTTTAGGCAACAGGAGGGAGAAACAGCTCAACAGTCTGGATAAGTTACCAAGCAGATACTCAGCATGAACAGCAGACGCTCTAAAATTGCGCTCGAATTTCCACATCTGAAATCTCCACCTGGGAGTAGAAAAGTCTTCTGTGAACTGGGCTCTCACTTCTGCCCCCATCATCCACCCGGCCCCCACTGCCCACCCAGGAAGTCTCGGGAGCCTTCAGGCCTCCTGTGGGGCTGACCCCGCCTTCCCTCCCCTGCCCCCTCCAGGCTCCCTTCCGCCCCCTCCCCTCCCCTCCCCTCCCTGCTTCTCCTCCGTCCTGTTCCTCCTTTTCCTACTCCTGTTCTTCTACTTCCTCCTCTTCCTCCCCTTCCCTTCCTCCTTCCTCTCCTTTTTTTTTTTTTTTTTTTAGTTCTCTCAAGATCACTTTTGGAGAAGGAGCAGGAGCCCATCCTAGTTGTCTGTTTTGAACAGGAATCTGAAGTCACCAGGAGCTGTCGTGGGAACGAATGTGAAATAATAATTATTTGCACACTTAATGATGAGCAGAAATATAAATCCTAGGCAACCCATGAAATTCACCGTCTTATAAATTCTGGTAACAAGCCATTGTTTTAAAATGGCATGGGAATACAGGCTATTTATTTAATTCATTAATTAGTTAATTTTTTATGTTTTTATTTTGTTTTTGAGAGAGAGACAGAGTGTGAGCAGCGGAGGGGCAGAGAGAGAGAGGGAGACACAGAAACTGGAACAGGCTCCAGGCTCTGAGCTCTCGAAGTCACACAGTTAACTGGCTGAGCCACCCAAGTCCCCCCGAAACACAGGTTATTTTAAAATAACTTTGATATAGACCTTGGCAGAAGGACTTGAAGAAAAATGTCAGAATCACCCTGGAGTTGTTTTAAATTAACAATATGGTATCATAAGCTATTCATTTAGTTGGGAAAGCTACAACTACACTAAGGTGTCTCTTAAGTCCTTTCACTTTATAGGCATTTTGATACAGTAGAGACTGATAGAAATCACCTTTCTCCAGCTGTCCATGGTACCATGCTTCTTGACAAAATGTGACACACTAAGACTCTTGCTTTCACTAAATTTCTAATGAACACGCACAAAGGTGTCCCAGGTATTAGAAAGGTTTGAGTAAGAAATAGATACCCTATAAATGTCTAGCCAAATCAGGATATAATACTAACCCTACTACAAATGCAGTTCAGACAGCAAACATCCAGATTGTCTTATAAAGGGAAAAATCTCAAAATAGGTTTGTCGGCAATTTACAATCTCTCATCTGGCAAGGTTGTCACAGGCTTCGTCCAGAATGGCATCGCCGTGGGGGGCATTTCTGCATTCTTGTTTTCTTGTCCGTTATTGAATATGTAAACGGT